AAACAAGCTAAAAAGTACGGATTATAAGACAAGCGAACATAGCCACTGTGTGCTTACCTTGATGAAATACTTCTTCATTAGTTCCATGAAAATTGAGGCCAAAGTGATGTCATGTAATGGTGGCCCCTCCATGGACTTTGGCATCCTGATCTGCTGCTTGGTGAAAGAGGCAAGGTAAAGCATCTGGTCCCCCACCTTCACTTGCACCCACTACATCTTGTAAGGGACCATCATCTTCGTCTTGAGCAGATTTGCTATTGAGATCGGGCAACTCCTCTCCTTTGGTGGTGCGTTCAAGTCTGGTATGGCCATGGATGAGGAATGGTTCAAGTGATGATGGCAAAGCTGTGGCTGTTAGCCTTTATGGACCCCTCGATTAGGAAAATGGCGCCGGAACTGTTGTTTGATTATTTTTTGTTTTGGCAAGTGTATGAGCCAGTGTTTTTGGCGCGCGGTAATTTATGCTGTCCATGGAAAATTCAGTTTCTGAGTGGGTAGTGCATGTGAAAACGTGAAAAGTTGTGTACTGGATTATTTGTTTATGCAAAAATACTTGTGAGTGGGAAGGAGTATAAAGAAGGTCATTAATGAGCATGTTATCTCAACAAACAGTAATTTCATGATTGCTTATAGAGCTACCGAGGTCTTTTACCATCAACCTTAAACCTTAGGGCATGTTTGGTTTATGTAGTACCTCCTAAAATTTCTGTCACATCGAATGTTTGGATACATGCATAGAGTATTAAATATAGACTAATTAGGAAACTAATTGCACAACTTGCGACTAATTTACGAGACGGATCTTTTAAGCCTAATTAGTCTATGATTTGACAACGTGGTGCTACCGTAAACATACGCTAATGACGGATTAATTCGGCTTAAAAAATTCGTCTCACAAATTAACCTCCATCTATGTAATTGATTTTATAATTAATCTATATTTAATACTTCTTATTAGTATTGAAACATTCGATATGACATGAATTTTAAGAACAACTAAAGAACCAAATACCCACTAGTCTATGCTACAACTCCTAGAACAACACCTGGAGGGAGAGTACTAGTATAAGTAATAATGCAAACATGCACTTTTCCAGTGTTCCTGCAGGTCAGCAGGGTTCATCAAGTCAACACTCAGGGCTACAGTTACTACTACTGACGCGGCCGCATTTTTTTTTGCTTGCACTGTTGCACAGCTGGCTTGACAAGACTAGCATCAACTGCATCTGAAACACCGGCCGGCCGATGGGGTGCGGCGATGGCGGCGGCGTGTCGTGTGTCGTGCGCGCAGCGCGCCCCGCGATGGATGGCGACGGGGGCATGGACTTTCTGCAGACCGATGGTGACCGGCGGCGTACCGTCACCCAGATCGCGCGCGGCGCGGCGCGGCGCCACCGACGCGACGCTGATGGTGTCTGGACTGTAGTAGTGCAGTGGCCAGTGGGCGGCCTCATCACACACAGAGTCTCAGTCACTGAGCCGCAGGCTCACAGGTAGCTGCCCAACCAATCCGGCCGGCGATTAGGGCGTGTTTTGATCGGTGCCTGCATCAAGCATCAACGAATTGAATGCGTTAACGGTGAGTCGGTGACCAAAGTTTGACTCTAGTTTGGCTCAGCTTCCATGCATGCCTTGCCTACTTCAGGCCCTGTTTGGTTTCTACGGGTGCTTCAAAAATTTCTGTCACATCGAATATTTAGACACATTTACGGAGTATTAAATATAGACTAATTACGAAACTAATTATACAACTTACGACTAATTTGCGAGACGAATCTTTTAAGCCTAATTAGTTCATGATTTGACAACGTTGTGCTACAGTAAATATGTGCCAATGACAGATTAATTAGGCTTAAAAAATCGTCTCGCAAATTAGCCTCCATCTATGTAATTGGTTTTGTAATTAATCTATATTTAATGCTCTTTATTAGTATCTAAACATTCGATGTGACATGAATTTTAGGAGCGACTAAAGAACCAAACACCCCCTCGGATTCTTTGGTTTTTTAGGATCTCCTAAAATTTCTGTGACATCGAATGTTTGGACACATGCATGGAGTATTAAATATAGACTAATTACGAAACTAATTGCACAACTTGCAACTAATTTGTGAGACGAATCTTTTAAACCTAATTAGTCCATGATTTGACAACATGGTGCTACAGTAACATGTGCTAATGATAGCTTAATTAGGCTTAAAAATTCGTCTCGTAAATTAGCCTCCATCTGTGTAATTGGTTTTGTAATTAATCTATATTTAATGCTCCTTATTAATATCTAAACATTCGATGTGACATGAATTTTAGGAGCGGCTAAAGATCTAAGCACCTGACCCGGTTCGTTTTCGTGACTTTGGGTGCCACCCACAATGCAAGTGTGCCCAGGTTTGGCACTTGGCAGGACTTGGCGTGGGCATAGTTCATTAATTCAGACGCGCCCTGTTGCCACAGTCCCAGTGGATTATCTATCCAATGGGCAATGGCCCAAGTCGACCATCATGTCATGTTTTATCTGGACTCAACACTGTTTGCTTACTACTCTATGCATTTAGGCTTTGTTTACTTTCAGTGTATAAAGTTTTGGGGTGTCACATTGAATGTTATATGGGGTATTCTAATACTAATAAAAATAAATTACAGAATCTGTCAGTAAACCACGAGACAAATTTATTAAGCCTAATTAATCCATCATTAGCACATGTATTATTATAACACTTTATTGTCAAATCATGGACTACTTAGGCTCAAATGATTCGTCTTACAAAGTAGTCGTAATCTGTGCAATTAGTTATTTTTTAGTCTATATTTAATACTACATGTACGTATCAAACGTTCGATGGGATATGGTGTAAATTTTAGGAAGGGATTAAACAAGGCCTTAGTGTTACTACTTGCGTCACGTGAAAATAGTAACACTAAGGCCTTGTTTAGGGGGTGTTTGGTTCTTTAGTCGCTCCTAAAATTCATGTCACACCGAATATTTAGATACTAATAAAGAGCATTAAATATAGATTAATTATAAAATCAAATACACAGATAGAGGCTAATTTGCGAGACGATTTTTAAGCCTAATTAATCTATCATTAGCACATATTTACTGTAGCACCACGTTGTCAAATCATGGACTAATTAGGCTTAAAAGATTCGTCTCGCAAATTAGTCGTAAGTTGTGTAATTAGATTCGTAATTAGTCTATATTTAATACTCTATGCATGTGTCTAAACATTCGATGTGACAGGAATTTTAGGAGGGCCTGTACAAACCAAACACCCCCTTAGTTCCTCCCTAAAATTTGCACCATATCTCATCGAATGTTTGGACACGTGCACATAGTATTAAATATAGACAAAAAAAACTAATTGCAAAAATTACGACTACTTTGCGAGATGAATCTTTCAAGCCTAAGTAGTCTATGATTTGACAATAAAGTGCTACAGTACTCATATGTTAATAATAGATTAATTAAGCTTAATAAATTTGCCTCGAGGTTTACCAATGAATTCTGTAACTTATTTTTTATTAGTATACGAACACTCTATACGAGACACACTCCAAGACTTTACGCACTCGATCTAAATCAGTCCTAATTCCCAAATGGGCAAACCCCGTCTATCCTCCCCTTTTTTACCTATGCTGCTACGGCTATGCGCTGCTTTGGGAGCTGTTTGGCATACAGTACACCACTGTCACTCTACATAGGCGCATAGCTGCCGTAGCATGGACTCTCTGTAGCGTCCACACTCGCCCTGCTTTAGCGCATCCTACTGTCCTGCTTCCGAACAGATCATCGCGGAAACGGGGAAGTCCATGCGAGTTTATAGTTTCAGACCACAAGAGTCAACAAGGCAGCAAAGAAACCACACATCCCAAGCTCATGAAATCCCCACTAGTTTAACCCCGTTTTGAGGCGTGGACGCGTGGTTTGGCTGGCTGGCCTGCTGCTGCCTGTTCTTTTTCCCACGAAACTGAATCGATATACTTGTGTAATTCCTGTACGAGATTTCTGTGTTTTATAACAGGGTTGTAGTACTTGTGACGCTAATCCATGGCACGGAATGTCGACTGATCCGGAGATCGAGCACGGATTAGGTTGGATGGTGTGGGGGGTGGGATAGTCTAATCCGTGGCGTGATCATGGGCGTTGTTTGTGGCCCAGAGCGGCGGTCCCAGCGAGCGAGTGATTGGGCGCCCTGATACGGGAGCAGCGGCGCGTGAGGAATCCACCACATCCACAGCGCGGGCGGAAGTGGATCCGCCATGCGCGACAACCAGCACCGAATCTCAAGCAAGAACTGCTGCCGCCTGCCTGTGCCTGATCATATCATACAATATATAGAAAAGAAAGTGGCAGCCGTACTTAGTAGTAGTCGCACTGCAGTACTGGACGCTGGCTGGTTAGTACCACTATACATTCAGATCCTAAACTAATGGCGTCCTGCAGTACCTGATGAATCCCAACGAGTCAAATAGTCAATCAAGGCTCAAAAGTCCAGACCTTTGCATTGTTTGCATCACCCTGGATGGATTCTGCTGCTGCAAAGGTATCCTTTTTCCACTAGGAATATGTAGGTGTAAACCAAGGCAGTTTGGGACTATTGCTGCTGCTGTGGGTCATACCATACATACATGAGTGTCTTTTGTTAGGTGGCCAATCCCTGGCCTGGTTCCCCGGAGCTAAGTTAGGTTTGTTTGGTTACCTGTAGATGGGCTGGAGCCTGGCTTCGAGAAGCCAATCGTACGCTCCTAGCCAGGCTAGCAAAGAACGCAAGCGTTGCTCGTTCTCCTGGAGCCAGGCTTGGCCAGGCGTGAGTCCTGTTCCTGTCACCTCCCTCAGCGTGTCTTCCGTCCACGTCTGTCTCCCATCCCTCCGGTGCCCCTTCGGCAGGCGGCGGGCCGCGGATGTCCTCGCTCATCCCTGCTTCTTGCAGCGGTCGCTCCCGCTGCTGCCCAGTCCTCACCACCGCCCGTCCAGCCCGTCGCCACCAGTGGCCTCCTCCGCCATGGAGCTCTCGCTCCTCAACCCCGCCACGACGCACCGCCACCGCCGCGGGGGCCACGCCACCGTCATGCCCCTCGTGGGGCGCTCCGTGGTCCGATGCCGCATGTCCGCCACCACCGCGACCGTTGCGCCGCTCAAGTCCTCGGGCCCCAAGAAACGGGACAAGACGGAGATCCAGGAGACGATGCTCACGCCCAGGTTCTACACCACTGACTTCGACGAGATGGAGCGCCTCTTCAATGCCGAGATCAACAAGCAGCTCAACAAGGCGGAGTTCGACGCGCTGCTGCAGTAGTCCACGCCGCCATCGTTGAAGATCTGGGAGCCAGCCTTCAACCAGACGCCTCGCCGAACTAGATGCTGTTGCGGGCGAGTAGCTCGGGGAAGACGCAGGAGAGCGCGCCGAGCATGCCCCAATGAGGAGTGGATGACCTCCAGCTCGTGGTGAGATAGCTCAGAGGCTCGCCGGAGAAGGGGCCGAGGTGCCGCGTTGGACTCGATGATGCTCCCTTCTCTCCACGACTTGACGCCGGGCTGCTCGGGATCCCTTGTTCTGCTCTCTGCACGGCGCTGAGCAAGAAGGTGGTGGAGGTGTCACTTGTCGCCCACCTCACCAAGGTTGCTGAGCCACGACTCGAGCAGCGCTCTGCCATGCCCATGGTGCTGCTGTGCTCGCCTTGCTTACCCTGCTGTTGCCGTGAGGATGCTGTCGGTGTTTCGAGTTACCACCGACGAGTAAATTTCTAATATTGCACGTTTGGCTCGGATGGTGTGCTTAGAGGACACGAGGTTTATACTGGTTCAGGCAGAATGTCCATACGTCTAGTTCGTCGTTGCTGCTCGTGTTACTAGCACCGAAAGTTTATAGTAGGGATTATAAATGGGTGAGAGAGGGTCAGGTCCTGAGTCTCTAGCGAAATGAGTGAAAGGGTGCTGAGAGCTCGGTCGCTGCTCAGCCGTGCGCTCGTGTATTTGTTATCTCATGGTTCGGGGTTCGATGGGTTCGTTGGTCAGATGCCTCTCATGGGACGCCCTGCTTTCCCTTTTATAGGCCAAGGGAAAGCATGGGTTATAGTGGAGGGAAAGAGAAGAATGAGAGAGAGCCGAAGGCCTTCAGGATCGTCGGGCCCTTCTCCTTCATGCGGGTCTCGCCGACCCTGTAGATGTCAACAGGGATGGCGCCATGTTGTGGCCTTGTCCGTCACTGGCGCCATGCGCAGGTGTCGTCTGCTGGTCATAGTGCTCCACTCCGCCTGGTGGATGTCGTGATGAACTGACGCGCCTGTCAGTGATCGTACAAGGGTTAGGCAGAACAATATCGATACGCCCGACGCTGTTCTTGATGTGAATCCTCAGGTATGGCCCGTCACGGCCACGGGTTACATCGAGGCATGCCAGTCTCTTCTCTGGTGTCAGAGTTTTGACCCAGGCCCATATGCCTGGACCTGGAGTGGTTGGCAGCGGTATGGGACCTCATCGGGTGAGGCGGGGCCCATGGCCTCGGGGGCGGGTGAGGCGGAGCCCGCGGCCTTGGTGTCGAGCGAGGCGGAGCCCGCCCCCAGAGGTCGGGCGAGGCGGAGCCCGTGCCTTGGGGTCGGGCGAGACGAAGCCCGCGGCCTCGGGGTCGAGCGAGGCGTAGCCCGTGGACTCGGTGTCGGGCGAGGCGGAGTCCACCCCTAGAGGTCGGGCGAGGCGGAACCCGTGGCCTCGGGGTCGGGCGAGGCGAAGCCTACGACCTTGGTGTCAAGCGAGGCGGAGCCCGCCGCCAGAGGTCGGGCGAGGCGAAGCCTGTGGCCTCGGGGTCAGGCGAGGCGGAGCCCGCCCCTAGAGGTCGGGTGAGACGGATCCTACGGCCTCGGTGTCTGGCGAGGCGGAGTCCACCCCAAGAGGTTGGGCGAGGCGGAGCCTGCGGCCTTGGGGTCGGGCAAGGCAGAGCCCACGGCTTTGGTGTCGGGCGAGGCAGAGCCTGCGGCCTCGGTGTCGGGCGAGGCGAAGCCTGCCCCCAGAGGTCGGGTGAGGCGGAGCCCGTGGCCTTGGGGTCAGGCGAGGTGGAGCCGTCCCCCCAGAGGTCGGGTGAGGTGGAGCCTACTGCTTCGGTGTTGGGCGAGGCGGAGCCCGCCCCTAGGGGCTCCCCAGAGGTCAGTCGAGGCGGAGCCTGCGCACCTGGGGGCTGGTTGGAGCCGTAGTCACGCTCTTGACTGCCTGGATGAATTAATGTTGATGACCATTAGCCTCTCTTCTTTGGATACCCTAGTATTGGTCCCCGACTGCGGAGGAGTAGAATACTCCTTCGGAGGCTTTTCTGAACGGGAGGACTCTGGGGGCCTTGGCCTTCTTTTGTCGCCCACGGCATGACCTGGGGATGATGATTCCCTTTCGTCGAGATCGGACTCCTCGGGGGTATAGCTGTGAGATTTGGTTGGTCAAAAAAGGTCTTTCCTGATTTCGACCACTACGGGGGTCTGTCGTTCTGCGGCCATACGTTCGACCTTCGTACGAGTCCAACTTTCCTCGAGCCCCTACCGTAGCAGGGGTCCGGTCAAGGATTGGTTCATCTTTGCGATTGTCTTCCCTCGAGCGTTTTTTCGATAAAAACGGAGGGGCGAACCGTGCCATGATTTTCCTCTATGGACGAATCATGGTGCTCGGTGAGCTGTTAATGGTGTAGTCCGAGTGGGGCCCCGGCATCCCGTTCACGGGGATCTGGCTTGGGTCAGCTTTGGGACCAACTCCAGATTCTTAGCGGTCAATCCATATAGTTCTTGGGTCTGTTCGACTAGTCTCGAGGGATTTGTGCCTTTCTTCGAGGAAAAACCATGGATCATATCCGGCCGAGATTCAAACGTGGGCTGGGATGCCCACGCCGCTCGTGCGCCCGGGTATTGGCCACTAGCGGGCCCATCCCTTTCCACCCCTCACTCTAAAGGTGTCCGGAGCGGTTGTCAAACCCATCGGTGGGCCAACCTTCGAACTCTTGCGCCTAAATGGGCCGTAGGAGCATTTTTTGCTCTGTATCCCTTTTACCTATGATGGGTCGTGGCCCGTTCGGGAAGGCGAAACATCCGACGAGTTTTTCAAGGGAACGGACATAGGTTGTGTGCGCATGTCCCATGGCGAGACATGGTGGTAGGTCATGGCAGGAGCGGAAATCTAGGCGGACGGTTGGTTTCCTCGCACCCGTCACCCCTATAAAACCAAAGGGCTAGCCCTCCGGATTTCATATGCACGCTTGCATCCTTGCCTCCGTAGCCACGCCGCTGCCTCCACCGCTTAGGTTTCCTACCTCTGCATCTCCGCCGCCGTTGAGCTCGCATCCATCCGTTCCCATCTCTAATGGATCTATGGTGCCATTCTGACATCACCTTCCAGCGTATGGAGGGCCTCGTTCATCGTGGTCTTCTCCACGCACGGATCTCGCCCGAGGAGTGGCTGCTTCCAGGTGATGAGGATTTGCCGTCGCCGCAGGACGACTATGTGGTGTCGTTCGCCCACTTCCACGAGCGTGGGCTCATGACCCCCGCCCACAAATTTCTTCGGGGGCTGCTGCACTGCTACAAGATCGAGTTGCAGCACCTCAATCCTAGAAGGATCCAGCACATGGTGGCGTTCGTCGCGCTGTGCGAGGGATTCCTGGGGATCAGCCCCCCTTCGACTTGTGGAGGCACTTCTTCACCATCGACCTCCAAAATAAGAGGGAGAAAAGCGGTAGGCAGGAGCTGCACATGCCGATGGGGTGCGCCGGCATCCAACTTCGGAACAATCGGGTCGGCGAGTACCCTTCCATGTGGCTTTCGACATCCAACAAGGGGTGGCATTCGCAGTGGTTCTACCTCAAGAACGACGCCGCTGCCCCTCTGCCGGAGTTCACCAGGTGCCTGATCGAAGAGGCCCTATTGTTGTGGAGGAAGTGGGGCATCCCGGAGAAGGACAAGAAGAAGATCCGAGACCACATCACCGCCATCCAAATCTTGAAGGAGAATGGCATGAAGGGATCGGGCATCATCGAGGCTTACCACGCAAGGAGGGTGGCGCCGTTGATGATGCGTGCGCTCCCGATATATGCGATGGCGCCCGAGGCGTCATTCGACGGAACGGCACTCGCCAAGGGGACGCTCTCTAACTCCGAGATCGCACAACGCATCAAGGAGGCAATGGAGCTGAAAGTATCAAGATGCCCAAGAGGTGGGTGAATTGGGCTAATTTTAAATTTTTGCAATAACTAAGCCCTATACTTAGCCCATTTCACTCCTTGTGTCTAAAATGTGTTTCTATTGTTCTCCCATACAAAAGTTTTGCACCCTAGGTTCCAATCCTACTTTAACATGGCAATTCTAGGAATGTAAAGACATGAAATGAATTGCTCAAATGTAAATGCTCAAAGTAAAGAGAGGGAAATGAACACGGTGATGTTTTCTCGATGTATCGGAGAGTCACCACTCTTCACTAGTCCTCGTTGGAGCACCCGTGCAAGGGTGTAGCTCCCCCTTGATCCGTGCAAGGATCAAGTGCTCTCTACGGGCTGATTCTTTGATACTCCATCGTGGTGAATCGCCCACAACTGCTCACATATTGACTTGGGTCATCCACAAGCTCCGTCGGATGATCATCAAGCTCCCAATCACCACCGAGCCATCTAGGTGATGGCGATCACCAAGAGTAACAAGCACAAACTCTCACTTGACCAAGACAAGCCTAATGAGAAAGGTGGATGCACACTTGCTACTCCCTATGCACTAATGAGGTCCTTAATTTTGGATAATCAAATCTCAATCACCCCACTAGGCTCTTGTTCTCCCTTACACTCCAAAGGTGTTTCTTAGCTGAACAAATGGGCAAAGAGACCTCCCATGGATGAGTGGAGTAAGTATTTATACCCCCTCATTCAAAACATAATGTTTGGAGGCTAAGTCATCACTCTGCGGGCTGACCAGACGTTACGGTCAGGGTGACCGGACGCTCTGATCAATTGTACCTACCACTTTGCCAGAGAGAGCCATTAAGCTCTGACCGGACTCAGACTAGCGTTCGGTTAGCAGCCACCGGACGCGTCTGGTCAAGAAAAAACCTCTCTGGAACCTCTCTAGAGTGGACCGAACGCAGGCACCCCAACATCCGGTGCTCCTCCACTCAGCTTCCGGTCAGTACTAGACGACTGCAGTTGATCAAATGAACTGACCGGACTCACCCTCCAGCGGCTGATCACAACCAGACCAGCATACGGTCAGTCATTTGACCCTCCATTCACTTCCAACTCGAAATCCTATGTGAATGAAGTTGACTCCAATTGACCTTAGG